ACATCATGCACTCTTTTCCACTTATTTATTGCATTCATAGACGAAGAGGTATTCTCATTCTCAGTACTTACATCATTCGCATTCTCAGAAAGTGATAATAAATAAAGCTTGTCTTGTTGGAAGGCAAGACCAACACACTTATTATTAATCACAATCCTATATTTGTCATTACCAAAATGGCAATCATATCCATCATCATCTAAACGTGAAACACTTATTAAGTTTCTTCACAAAGAGGGTACATAAAGAATATATGAAAGCTGTAGTCTAAACCCATCATCTAATTCTAGAGATAGATCTCCTATGGCTTCAACTTTAGCTTCAACTCCATTTACAATTTGAATTCTTCTTTCTTCTCTTTGCAGGGTCCTCCTCGTATAGAATCCCTGTAATGAATTTGCAACATGAACAGTTGCACCTGAATCAATCCACCAAGTAGATTTTGCATAACTTAAATATAAGGATTCATCTATGAATGTAATGAAATCCTCACCTCTCTTTAGAAGGTTCTTCAGGAAGTCAAGACAATCCTCTTATAATATCCATGCTTCTTGCACCATTTACACTGATCCTTCTCCACTTGAACATTGTTGTTCTTCATATGGTGGTTATTTTGATGAGCTTTCCCTTGAGGTTTGGCATTCTTATTGAAATTCTTCTTCTTGTTATCCTCTCATCTTCTTAAACACACATTGCTATGAGCTTCTCTATATCCCACTTATCGGGTTGCATGTTGTAATTAACAACAATGGTTTCATATTACTTTAGCAAGGAAGCAAAAACCAAATGAATCAGGAACTCATCCTTGAGCCCCAAATCCATTGGCTTTAGCTTCGAAGCCGTGTTGCTCATCTTCAGTATGTGCTCTCTGATACCGCCACCAGCATATTTCTCATTGAACAATTTCTTGATCAAAGTACTGGTATAAGCCTTTGAAGAGCCAGTGAACTGACTCTCCACCTTCTTAAGATACTTTGTGGTGGTATCACAATCTAAGATAGACCCCCTTATAGCATCTGAAATTGTGGACTTAGACACCATCAAGCACTTGCGGTTTGAAATGTCAAATTTCTTACGTTTGAGATCATATTTCATCCACACTTCTGCATGACCTCGCTGCCGAGCAGTGAAATCAACATTAGTCTTATTATCTTCCCTCACCTGGTCCACTGGCTCAGTCGAACATAGGGAGGTAAGCGCTAGGTCATTTTCAGACAGCGCAAGTGCTAGTTCATACTTCTCTCTCCATACCCTATAGTTGCCCCCTTCAAGAGGTGGTATGTGCGAGATAAATGCCATTGGGTTGAGTCCTGAAAAACACCATCAGAGATGGTGAGAAAATATGACATCATAATTGCATTCTTTAATTTAACGTTGATCAAAATTAAAACATACAACATTCTTATACACTAATTCTACATCACCGTTGGGCAGAAATAGAATTAATTCATGAAAAACTTATGAATAAACATTATAATATTGCTATTATCAACGTTGATAAAAAAATAACAATATTATAATTTACTGACTAAATAACTGCTCTTCAAATTAAATTCTCCTATTGGTTTGAATTTAATTGAAAGATAATAAACTTTAACATTGCTGTAGAAACATGGAAAAAATTCTTTATCTACTTTTTAGAAGCATTTTACTGTACTCAACTACTCTCTGAAAAAATTATCCTGTTGATTCAAATTTTGACAGAGATTTAAACAGGACAAAAATCATCGAAATCTCCTTCTGAAAATAAAACAAAAATGAAAAAATGTTACTGTGTAATTTGGACCGAAACTACTATCGTCTTTTGACCGTTGCCACCGCCCATGCCAGATTGCCCACGCCGTCGCCGCACCCTCCCAGCGCCAAGGCCGCAACTCGGGCTCAGGCAGGATTTCTCTCGCCAATCAGGCTGTTTACGCCCAAGCGCCCGTAGTCGTTCATCTTGATCGGATGGACACCCGTCGTTCTCGCGCGAAATAAAAACTCCCGCCACGACGCTCCCCCAGAACCCTAGTTTCATTTCCTCCCACCCCTTCTCTCTCTCAGGGCTACGCACAGAAAGGAAAGAGGAGCAGCGGAGTGGCGCCGCTGCCGATCCCCTCGCTGGCGCGCGCTCACCCTAGGCTGAGTGCGCTGCCGTTGAGTGGACTGGGTGATGGTGCCCTAATCCCCCACACGCGCTACGGTGGGCTTGGCCTTAACCCTCGATCTAGCCCTCTCTCCCCGTTGCACCCGAGGTCAACGCAGGAGGTGGCTGCGCCGCCGTGGCGCCCTTCGCCAGTGCTCGCGTGCGACCGAAGCCGCGCGGCGCCATCGAGTGGCACCGCGGTGGTGCTCTTTACGCCCTGCGTTCTTGTGTGCGACGTCACAGAGCGTCGACGAGCCGGCGGCTCTCTCAGCGCGCTGTCTTCCCACACGACGGCGGTACCACCGGCAGTGAGGAAGATTCCTAGGTAGGTCTCTTCCTTCGCCAACCTTTCATTTTTCTAGGGTAGGGTAGGGTTAGGGTTAGGGTTAGGGTTAGGGTTTGAGTATTGTTCTTCTCCCCCGAGCTGTCTACGTGGGCTAGGGTTAGGGTTCAGTTCCTTTTCAAAACCGAGACCGTTTCTTACTCCTTTTCTTCATCTGATTTGGGTTTAGGGTTCGATGAACCCTCTGCTTAGATCAGAAACGGATCTATCACCTCCTTCTAAATGCTGCTACTTGGTTTTCTACTTCGACATGCTAGATCTACGCCTAGTTAGGCATCTGATACCATTGATAGAAACATTATAGGATCACTAGCCATAGATCTAGCATACCAACTGATATTTGATAAAGTGTAAACCCTAGAACATGTACTAGTATGGGATTAACAGACAGAGTGAGAGAGAGATAGGGGTTGAGGAGGTGCAAACCATCGGTCGCCATCGTAGAAGAGCTGGCCATGGGTTGCTTGACGGTGGCGCGGTGAAGCCCGGCGGTGAACGCGCTGTCGCTGTGGCGACGGTGCAGAGGCGGCGGCGGCCGGTGGCGATCTTTCCGTCGCTGCACCACCCCCCTCTTAGATCGATTATGGTTTCGGGACTGTAGGTGGGGCGTCTGGCGCTCAGGTGAACCTCGTGCCTTGTGTCCCGGCCTCCACCTCTCTTTTTATGGTCTTTGTGCAACGGGGGGCCCACCAACCATGGAACGGTTGGGCGCCCCCGATCAGGGCGCGGATCCAAGGGACCAATTGGCCGGTTGGAGATCATCTAACATTCTCCCCCTTATCTCACCTTATGACTTAAACTCAACTTACTTACTTTATCCTATTCCTATTCCATCACAGATAAGTGCATAGAACTTGTCTCATCATCACGGCCAGTTGTCATTAGATTAAACAGCTTCAATGCACCTCTCTGTTTTGAAACAAATTCTCAACTAAGCCCTTATTGTCCGGGAATCATAGGCTTTCCCTTAAACCCATGCCGGCTAAGTGTTCTCTGAACACGCTGGGTGGTAAGCCTTTTGTAAGCGGATCCGCAATCATCTTTTCTATTCTTATATGCTCAAGACTAATTATATGATCCCGGACTTTGTCTTTCACAACATAATACTTTATGTCAATGTGTTTGACACACTACTAGAGAAACAGGTTTTAGTCCCGGTTGGGAAGGCCCTTTAGTCCCGGTTTTCCCAACCGGGACTAAATTCCCGGGACTAAAGGTCCACACCTTTAGTCCCGGGTCTGGAAACCGGGACTAAAGGTCACCCACGGAAGAAAAAAATAAAGGAAATCCTCGAGGCCTCGCTTGCTCTACGTGAGATTCGAACCCAACACCTCTCTCCTCGCGCGTAGGTACATTACCAACTCAACTGCACACCACTTGTGACAAAGTCATGTGCGCTCTCCTTTTGAATAGACTCGTGGGAGACCTTTAGTCCCGGGTAAAAGACCTTTAGTCCCGGTTGGTGTCACCAACCGGGACTAAAAGGTCACCCTTTAGTCGGGACTAAAAGTTGGTGAACTTTTACTCCGGGTTGGTGACACCAACCGGGACTAAAGATGACTTTTAGTCCTAGTTGGTATTACGAACCGGGACTAAAAGTCCTTTAGTCCCAAACGCAAAAAATATCGAGACTAAAGGCTAAAATCGAAGTGGATGAAATGTCTATTTTTTAGTAGTGGCAGCACCACTTGACTTATTATTGTGAGCATAATATACTGCTGGATTGACACCACCTACATTGTAAACTCAACACACAAAGTTCGTTCCTCACCAACTACATGTTAAACTGGTTTATTAGTTTTATATTGCAGGGCGTGATTAAAACGGATGCATTTCCAGTTGACGACGGCACTGACCAACCAGTTGTTTCCCATGCTAGCCTCCTGAAAAACATCTGAGATTGACACCACCACCATCAACAAAATGAAGGCTGCCCGTCCATGCATATGCGTGTCATTTGTCAACACAAACACTGCAGCAGATATACTTAAAGCGTATAATACTCTAACGGATATACTACGACTATATACTCCTGAATCAGCGGGCAATCATCCATCCTGAATTCATTACGCCCTGCTGGTGACAGGAGACCTGCACGTACGCCTGATTGAACAGGGCACTGTTGGTACACTCCTTGCCATGCAGAGAGCGAGAGGGACAGGACAGCTAGCGTCGCCCAACGTCACGCACAAACCTATATATCTGCAGCTGCAGCTGCCTATATCTCCGTCGTCTCCATTTGGCCGTCCCGGTCGGTCGTCGTCCAGTCCATGTGTCGCGCCACCGGTTCCCCCGGCCGTCGCCATCGCCGGTCACCTCACCCTCCACTACGCGCACTGCCGGAGGCCGGAGGCATGTATATATAGCCCCTTACCCCTGCCTCACCAGCCTACCCTTCCCACCGAACCACTGATCGCTAGCTCGCTCTCCAGCTACTATTCTCACCTGCACCACTTCTCTCTCGCGATCCAAGCCGAACGAGCCACCTAGCTAGCTAGTTTGACTATCTGGCAGGTGATCAGGTCAGGCATGGCGAGCGCGACGACGGAGCAGCCGGCCAGCCTCATCGTCGACGGCGAGGAGGACGAGCAGCAGCAGCAGCTTGACGACCTTGTTGGCCGCGCCGCCGTGGTGGCGAAGGAGGTGAGCAAGCGGGTGTCTCGCCTGGCCGTCGAGGGAGGAGGAGGAGCCGACGCCGCCGCACGCTGCCAGCAGGGCGTCTTGAACATCGGCGGCGGTGGCGTCGTCGCCAGGCCAGCAGGGAACGGACATCATCACGGGGCCGACGCGGGGGCGCCGCAGATCCGGCGCTCGTTCACGGCCGGCGCGCGGACGCTGCCGCCGCCGCACGCGTGGCTGGCGATCGAGGACACGAGGAAGCAGCAGCAGCAGCAGGAGCACGACGACAGCGACGAGCAGTGGGCGCGGCTCTTCCGTGGCGGCGGGAGCGGGACGCAGCATCAGCGGCAGCAGCAGATGCAGAGGCGGAGCAGCTTCAGCGTGGTGCGGCGGGAGCGCGCGGCGCGGGAGGCGTGGCTGGACCGCGCGTGGGAGATGAAGCGGAGCTGGCACCAGCGCAACAGCGGCGCACCCGACGCGGACACCCCCGTGGTGGTTGTGGTCGGGACGTCGCCGAGGGTGTCGTCGTCGTCGTCGTCGTCGTCCCAGCAGCATCAGGCCATGTCGGCGAGCGGCGGGGTGGCCATGGACGTGGAGGAGGTCCGCGCGTGCCGGGACCTCGGGCTGGAGCTGCCTTCCGACTGCACCGTGCAGATCCAGTGCTACGGGCTGTCCGGCGGCAGCAGCCCCACCCACTGCACCACCCCCGGCAGCGGCGCCGACTCGCCCTGCGCCGTCTCCATCCCTGCTGGTACGTACTACCATAGTAGCACCATCTATTGGTCGTTTATTCTGAAACTGAAACGTGCTAGAAATGAATTCATCACAGACTAGAATATATATACTTCAAATTTAAGGTGTTTTCCCATATTAAAATCCAAGAACAACAATAGTAATCGCGTTTAGTAGTAGTACTATACATATGGCGCACTTAATATCTAAGAAGGTACAAGGAGGAGAGAAAGAAATAGAAAAAGGTACAATACATTTGAGCAAAGGTGTGCTAGTTTAGGCTGTGTTTAGTTCGTGAAATGAAAAATTTTGGATGTCACATCGGATGTTTTGGGATGTCGGAAGGGATTTTTAGATACTAATAAAAAAACTAATTACATAGCTCGCTGAAACTGCGAGACGAATTTATTAAGCCTAATTAATCCATCATTAGCGCATGTTAGTTACTGTAGTGCTTATGGCTAATCATGAACTAATTAGTCTTAAAATATTCGTCTCGCGATTTCCAACCAAACTATGCAATTAGTTTTTTTCGTCTATATTTAATACTCCATACATATGCCGCAAGATTCGATGTGATGGTTTGGGGTGAAAAATTTTGGGAACTAAACCAGGCCTTAGAATTTGTAATCACTCGTAGTTTATTTGAACAGCGGTGCAAAAGAATAAGCAAATAATGGTCTGTTCGGCTTACCTTATATCCGGTTTGTTCGGTTTCTTTTTTTAACCGGAACATTGTTTTTCTCATCACAACATTTCAGCCAGAACAATGTTTTTCACCACTTTCAGTCAAGTTTTAGCAAGTCGAACGGGACCCACTGTTAGCCCCATTAAATGTTTTTTCTCTTCACGCAAGTCCAGACATGGCTTACTTTAATTTGCACGAGTACTTTGGTAGGAGAATAAAAACTAAAGTTCATTAATAATAGCTAGCTCTTCTAGTATAGTACTTTGCATGGGGGGCATGGCATGCCAACAAGACGACGACGGGGAGTTCTCTGCCGGATCAGCAAGGGCACTGCTGGCTGCAGGACTTCATAAATTAGGGAGAGGATTAGCTTATCCACCTACGACCGCTTGCTTTCCGGCCCTGCTTCGTCGTGGCAATTAAATCCATACCTGTTGACAGGGACGACCACTCCATTTGCATAAATATAGGGCGTGTTCGGCTGGTTGGCCGGCTGGCTGGGGCTGGCCAGCTCACTCACACGGATACTGTTTATATAAATAGTATCTTTCAACCAGAATAGTATTTTCTTTCACAACAATCTAACCGGAACAGTATTTTTGTTTATTCAACCAGCCGCCAGCCGAACACTCCCATATTCTCCGACTCTGATCCACTGCAGGTGCGGTTGGGTCGCCATATCCAGCTGCTAGTCTATCATCATAAACCACGTTCCCGCACCGGTCCGGCGAGTCGGCGATCGCCACCATGGCTTTAATTGGCCAGTTAATCCGATCCCTGTGTGTCACGATCTGCCATCATCATGAGATTCATCGATCGATCTCACACTAGTAGAGAACAGACCTTTGATCCTCGGCTAAAATGGGCTCTAGTCCCGGAATTTTTTGCGCCCGGGACTAGAGATACCTTTAGTCCCGGTTGGTGGCTCCAACCGGGACTAAAGGTCCCTCCTAACGACTCTTGCCCAGGCGCAAGGTGGCGGGGACCTTTAGTCCCGGTTTGGAGCCACCAACCGACTAAAATATACTTTTTACTCCCGGTTGGTGGCTCCAACCGGGAGTAAAGGTCTACTCCTGGGCCGTGGCTGCGCCTGGTTGAAAGTTACCTTTAGTCCCGGTTGGATCCACCAACCGGGACTAAATGTTCTCCTTTATAAATCGGCCGTCTCCTCCTTCCTCCCGAGCCCGAGCTCAAAGATATTTTGAAGCTCACTGCAGTAGTAGTGTTCTTGCTTCCTCCCTCCTCCATTGTTCCTCCATCCATTATTCGATTCCTCCATCGATTTCTTCGATTCCTCCGTCGATTCTTCAGTTGTAAAGGTTACCAATCTCATACTCTCATTTTTCACCATTGTCTTATCTCATTTTGTTCACTATATATATATATGGTTCTTTATTTTGGTTTTTTTTCATTTGTAAGCAATTTGAGCTCAAAATCACTTCAAGCTTGCATATTTACATGAAATAAGGTTAAAGTAGCTAGTTGAACTTGCGGACCGTGTTCATCTCGGCGAGCACGTTCTCTGCCGAGCGGTAACGGACGTCAAGGAGGAGCTTTGATTCTACGAGGGAGAGCGGCAATGGTCGTGGAAGACCGTGTTCCCTTCCTCGTAGAATTGGAGCTCTTCCGTGGTCAAAATCTGGTGTCCGTCTGTGGAGAAATGCTCGCCGAGATGATCACGTAAGCAAGGTCAACTAATACGGATGGTTATTTATTCACATGTCCCGATATCGCATAGCGATAGCATCAATCACCGTACCCAAACGTAGTATATATATAAATATAAACTTAGAAAATAGTTAGAAAATTATAGAAAATCCATACTAGTTGAACTTGCGGACCGTGTTCATCTCGGCGAGCACGTTCTCTGCCGAGCGGTAACGGACGTCAAGGAGGAGCTTTGATTCTACGAGGGAGAGCGGCAACGGTCGTGGAAGACCGTGTTCCCTTCCTCGTAGAATTGGAGCTCTTCCGTGGCCAAGTACGGTGCCGTCCGGTGGAGAAATGCTCGCCGAGATGATCATGTAAGCAAGGTCAACTAGTATGGATGGTTATTTATTCACACGTCCCGATATCGTCGTAGTAGTCTGTTATGTGTGTACATTCCCATTCTTCTGTTAATTTGCGAAAATATCATATGAATTACTTACCTGCCGATAGAAAGACGAGAACACAATGACCATTAAAATATCATTGTTTAGAGATCTAGATAATTTTATAGTTTGTTAATTTTATTTGTTTATAAAAGAAGAAATTTATAGTGTATTAAAAAAATGAGTATAGAGAGTAGATGGCAATGGCTTTAGGGTCCTCGGCCTCTCATGGGTTTCCAAAGCGACTTAGGCCGGGCCTTCCTCTCATTCCATGCGGCAAGTGTCGTGATGAGATGAAGATTGTGATGGAGTACCGAGTGAAGAAGGAGGGTCCCAACAAGGATCGTATCTTCTACAAGTGTCCGGATCGCAATGTGAGTTATTTTATCGTATTTAATGATTATGGTTAGTTTATACCTATTTTCATGATGGTTGTGATTAAAGTTCTAATTTTTGTTTTAATTTCAAATTGGGATGGCAAAGGGACGATGTTCAGGCTTCTCTTGGGAGGAAGAGTATGTTGAACTCGTGCAAAATATCTTGCACAACAAAAGTGATCTGGCGGCTAATGAGGCGGTGATCCACCAAAGAAGCCCAAAGATGTTGCTGTCGGGGATCTGCCTGTTTTTAGTTGAGATTGGTCGCGAAATCCTTGTGCTCCTGAAATGTATTTTAGCTTTAGTTCTTTTAGTGGTAGTTGGGATTGTCTACATTGTAGCGATGCTTTCATAAATTTGTATCTTTTGTGGTGGCACGCATGTTGTATAAATAATTAATTATGATCTAGGTTTTAATATGATATTTATGTCATGTAATGCGAGATGAGCCGTCATTGGATGTATAATCTTGATCGCCGCTCACAAGAGTTCATTGACGGCGTGCATTCTTTATTACGTGCAAAGAGACAAACAAACGCGACGGTTTCATGTGCCGCCCATGTGCCATATGTAAGAATACGGTGGAATATCCTTGCTCAAGGACTCTTCATTCACACTTGTTCAAGTCGGGTTTCATGCCAAACTATATTTGTTGGACAAAGCACGGAGAAACCGGTGTTGTAATGGAAGAAGATGAAGAAGAACAATGGGACGACAATGATATTATTCCCGATGGTGCGTGCTTCAATGATACACGCAATGGGAGAAGTCAAGAAGAGGTAGTCGCAGAAGATGAGTTTGGTGATGATCTTTGTCGGTCATTCGTGATGCACAAAGAGAATGTGAAAGTGAAAAGGAGAAGATCAAGTTGACGATGCTGCTAGAAGATCACAAGAAATTGTTGTACCCAACTTGTGATGCGAGGCGAGAAAAAGTTGGGAACCACACTAGAATTGCTTGCAATGGAAGGCAAAGAATGGTGTATCCGACAAGGATTTGGAGAGTTACTAAAATCCAAAAGAAGATGCTTCCGAAGTACAATGAATTGCCCGCCACTACCTACTGAAGCAAAACAAGTTGTCATCCTATGGGGCTAGAAATAGAGAAGATATGTGCATGTCCTAATGATCGCATCCTATACCGTGGCAAAGAGTACGAGAAATTGGATGCATGCCCGGTATGCCATGCGTCGCGGTATAAGATCAGGCGAGATGACCCTGGTGATGTTGAGGGCGAACGTCCACGTAAGAAAATCCCTGCCAAGGTTATGTGGTATGCTCCTATAATACCACGCTTGAAACGTCTGTTCAGAAACAAAGAACATGCAAAATTGTTACGATGGCACAAAGAAGACCGTAAGGTAGACAATATGTTGAGACACCTGCGATGGGTCCCAAAGTGGAGAGCAATCGACGAGAGAATTCCCGAGTTTGCAAATGACGCAAGAAACTTAAGGTTTGCTTTAAGTACAGATGGTATCAATCCTTTTGAGAGCGAGCGATGATCATAGTCATAGCACTTGGCCTGTTACTCTAAGTATCTACAACATTCCTCCTTGGTTATGCATGAAGCGGAAGTTCATTATGATGCTGTGCTCATCCAAGGCCCGAAGCAACCTGGCAATGACATCGATGTGTACCTGAGACCACTTATTGATGAACTTCTCATTTTGTGGAATAAAGAAGGTGTACGTGTGTGGGATGAGTACAAACAGGAACACTTTGATCTGCGAGCATTGTTGTTCGTAACAATCAATGATTGGCCTGCTCTAAGTAATCTTTCAGGACAGTCAAACAAGGGATATAATGCATGCACACACTGCTTCGGTGATATTAGAGGTGTATTCTTGAAAAAATGTCGAAAGGTCGTGTACCTTGGCCATCGTCGATTTCTTCCTGCAAATCACCCCGTAAGAAAGAAAGGTAAGCATTTTAAAGGGAAATC